TAAATACTGTTCAGTTTCTTGCACAGACTGATCGTTTTGTGTCTTTTCACATCAATGTATCGTCACGAGCCGCAGGGTTTAATTTGGTTTTGTTTGTGTATGTTTTTTTGACTCTCAAAGCCGTGATTCCCATTCACTGACATTATATGACTGACAGACTGCAACAGTTTGAGTTAAAAATCTTCATTTGTGTTCTACTGAAGAAACAAAGTCACCTACATTTTGCATGCCTGTAAGCAGATAAACATCAAATTTAAATTTTTGGGTGAACTATCCCTTTAAATATTGAAATGAATAACCGCATATAGCAATATTTGATAAGAGAAAAACATCTAATGCGTTTTGTCTGGCAGGTAACTCTAAATGTGTTCAGCTCATGATTGATGAAGGTGCGTTTATGGAAGCTCATGACTGTCACTTTGGCACTCCTCTGCATGTGGCGTGTGCAAGACAACATCTCAACTGCGTCAAAGTTCTGCTCAACGCAGGTCAGTTTCTGCATTTACATTTCTTTGTGTTTTATTTTTATTTGCAATTTGGTTAATGCACTAGCTAACATGATTTAACAATGAGCAATATATTTGTTATTGTTCATGTTAGTTCACAGTGCATTAACTAATGGTAACAGATACAATATTGGATTCTAAAAATGTGTAATGAAAAAGATTAATAAATGCTGCAGTATTGTTCAATGTTAGTTCATGCTAACTAATGTAGTTAACTAATGTTAACAAAATAGTGTTACTGCAAATCTCACTATTTTAAAATGAACATAAATCTCGTTGTTTCATTGTATCAGATATTAAAAAACAAACTTCTGTGCGCACTTTTCTTATGATGTCTGTGTATTCTTTGATTTATTTAGTTTCGTTCTATTCTTGTTTTTAGGTGCAAATGTAAATGCTGCTAAACTTCACGAGACTGCACTGCATCATGCTGCCAAAGTGAAACATCTGGAACTAATTGAGCTTTTGGTTGAATTTGGGGGAAATGTTTTCGCCAGAGACAACCTCGGAAAAAAGCCCTTTCAGTACACCAGACCCGGCTCAACGGCTGCACTCTGCCTAGAGTTTTATGAATGTAAGTTGAAGTGCTTAGTTTATAAATTTTGGATTTGGTATAATGATAGATGATGTTTTTCAAGGGGTCATATCATGAGATTAGTGGTCGACCGATATTGGTGTTTTGACAGCCGATGCCAATATCTTTGAAAGCAGGGTGGCCGATGGCCGATATAATTTTATTTATTTTAATTAATGTTTAAGAAATTTGAAATAATTTGAAAATGGATTAAAAAGTAAATGTGTTAAATAAACATACTTATACTTTAGATGACAAAGTATTTTTCACAAATAAATAAATATTTAATAAAAATATAATAAAAAAGGAAGTAAACACTGTAACCAACAGGGCAATCAGTATTCTGGGAAGTTTGTGTGCATTGGGAATCATATTTTTTCAAATAAAGCCAAGGTAACACTCATTTTACATACAGCACACAGTGGAAAAGACATGAATATGGCAGTGGGCAAATGCATAAAGCGCAGCATAATTTGAAATCACGAGTTTAAAGTTTGTCAATCACGCATCTCCAGTGAAGCTGAACTCTCCTCCTGTCCGCATTCCATTCGCACGGACCGACTCTCGCGCAGAGAACACGCGATCATGCAGGATACAAATGCACACTTCATAAGATCTCACAACTGGATCCGACTGAGATTGCAAGCTTTGTGAAATTAAATGTTCAATAGTCATTCAAAGATTTGTTTAAATTATATAAATGCGTATTTGCTGAATGCTGACGGCAAACAAGTTTGCCTTTCTATTACTAATAATATAAAAGCAATCGTTATAATACTTTTTGCGCCATCAAAATAAAAGTCCCGCCTCGAACGCATCGGCCAACCAGGAAAACTTATCAGCTGATGCCGATATTTAAAAAATGCCAAATATCGGCCGATATATCGGCCTTGGCGATATATCGGTCGACCACTACATGAGATATCAAATTTTTTTAAATACTAATACTAATAATAATAATACTAATCTTAATAAAAATAATAATAATACTAATCTTAATATTAAATAAAAATGAGTAATATGACTCCTTTAAAGTCAGTAAATTGAAAGAATTGAATCTGTTTTTATTATTTTGGCTAAAGCAGAAAATTAATTTACATCGTCCCATTGATAACTTCTTGTTTGATATCTTTCAGCCACACCTCTCAGTCTTCAGCAGTTATGCAGAATTGCTTTCAGAAATGCTCTCAGGAAACAGGCGCTGGGGGTGTTGACTCAATTGGGCCTCCCAAACGGAATAATCTGTTTCCTGTCTTATTTACCAGCTCCTCCCCTGGAGCTCTTCCCGTCCTGATGATCTACTACGCTGCTTCTGTCCAGGTCATGAATAATGGCCACGACAATGACTGCGTTTAAGAATAAGGTACATAGATCATTCGTTTCCAGGAGGAAGAAGATTCCTTATTGTGAAGAGCAGCTACTGTAACAGCTGCACTCAGTATTTGTCACATATGTTTGATATTTTCCCGCTGTTACAGCAGCGAACCAACAGAATACATGGTCACTTGGTATGGATGCAGTTTACTGCCAAAATGTTTAGAATAATTTGACTTGGAAAGAAGCACCTTTCACAGTTGCATCATGTTTTGGCTGCTGACACATCTTACAATGAGGCACAATAAGACAAAGAGCTTGTTTTCTTGCAGTTAATCCAAACCATAATATTAGTTGGATAATTATGTTTCATAATCTGCATTGTATGATTTCATTTATGTTATTAGATTTGTAAATACATTGTATATAAAATAGTCTTATTTTAATTCCGGTTTTATACAAATTATGCAAATTGTGCATATTATAGCTAGTTCTCATTTAAATGTGTATAAAATATAAGTGAATATACTGTGCAAATGCTTTATAAATGAAATTTCCTGTTGTACATAGATTATTTGAAAATGTTGTTTTGGTTTTACTTCTAACAGAAATTGTAATTTCTTAATTAATTACACAATATTACATTTATGTTTTACTTGACTGGTGTTGAGAATTGACCGGACTACTCTGACCTTACACAATAGATTTTATTTTCAGACACTGCTCTAAAGTCTTAATTTTGCTGCAGTTTGTGCATACCAAACAGATATCTATTAAAATTGTATTCATATATATTGCTTTTTCTCTGCACTTCATTCTGCTGAATTCTCTTTACAAGTCAGATGTAAGTATCAAATCATGTTAAGTAAAAAAAAATTTAAAATAGAAGTGCGCAAAATCACAACATTTTCATATAAGAACAGGAACACTACTGTTGCACTTTTATTATCTTATTATTATTATATTTTTTTAACATGGCCGTATTGCAGCCACAACGACATGACTTTTATTTTGACGTGATTTGTGGAATTCTGAAGCCGGAAGTCGCTGTGAATCGTGAAGTTCTGGGGGAAGCTGCTTGGTCAACTCTTATTCAAAACTTTGGGCAGACTTATTTAACTGCTGTTTTTACAAGCTGAATCTGTAGTCTCCTGACGAATCCTGTTCGTACGGGTTACGTGGCTTCCAGACGAGTGTGAAGTGGCGTCTAAAGTGCTCCTCATGGCATTATTTTGGGCGAGAGAGCAGTAATTAGCAGAGCCCTGTTGATCAGATCAGCCAGAGGTCGCAGAACTGCAGTGTAAGCGGTGAGTTTCCTTCTCCACCACTTACAGACGCTCTCTATCGCGTTTATACCCGTCCTCGGATGTTTACATTCATTTTCATATGTACAGGCAGTCTGGCACTGGATATTTTTAAAGGGCTTCCTTTGTACGACATAAAGGCTGTGACTCAAATCCTAGTGAGCTGTCTACATAGACAGCATTATGGCACATGTGGGATACATGTAGTCTAGGTTTCTTTTATGTATAGATCTGATTTCTCGTGATATTTTGTCTGATTAATATTATGTTAAATGTATACTTAAATTATCTTTTACGTTTTCTGTGCCAGGTATTTACTGTTGATTAGCCTAGTGTGTTTCTGTAGGGGGTTTGTCCTAATTTGATGGCTTATTCCACCACAAACATGATATCAATGCATGATAATCAATGAACGCATAACAGCCACAAGCAAGGTAATGGGATGTTATGAGACGTTCAACCCTGTTTAAAGTGCATATTTACCTAGACCACAACCACAATTGTGTGTAAAGTTGTCATTTACTAACCCTATGGTTGTTTAAAGTGTGTGAATTTCTGTACAATACGAAAAAATGTAAGCAGCCACTGACTTTTATTGCATACAGTGCAGTAAAACATCAAACATCAGTCTAAATGACAGAATAAGGGAAACTACTCCTTTCAGAAAGAAAAACTCGGGATTGATATTTGTCTTGTCATTTAACTATAGTGTGTTGACAAAACCTGTTATTATTTAGCATATGTAGTTAAAGTTTTCCAGTTAAAGTCAATGTGATTTTCTGTTCATTATGGAAGCCCGTTTCCACCATAGGATAAAAATTTAAAAAGGTAAATGCATCTTTTTATCTCACAGTTCTGGCTTTCTTCTTCTCACAATTCTGACTTTTTTTCTCTAAATCCTGAGTTGATATCTCACAATTCTGTTTTTTGTTTTCTGCCATGGGATTAAAAATAAAGGTAATTGTGGCTTTTTATCTTACATTTCTGACTTTTGCAAATAAACTATTTGTGACCCTGGACCACAAAACCAGTCTTAAGTAGAATGGGTATATTTGTAGAAATAGCCAAAAATACATTGTATGGGTCAAAATCATAGATTTTTCTTTAATGCCAAAAATCATTAGGATATTAAGTAAAGATCATGTTCCATGAAGATATTTTGTAAATTTCCTACCGTAAATCTATCAAAACTTCAGCTTTGATTAGTAATATGCATTGCTAAGGACTTCATTTGGACAACTTTAAACCACGCCTTCTTTCTTTGCGTGAACATTTGGGCGCATTATGCAAATATTCCCACATAGTGACCTAGATATGTGGGGGCGTGTTAGAACGAGCCGTTTTAGGGGGGCGTGGCAGAGTCTTAACTTTGATAAAAAATATCTTTTGGTTTTGAGACTTTAGTCTTTGCAACTTCAGGGATCTTATCTATTCACGAACAGCTTGTAACACTCCAAAGAGAAAGGAAAACTTGAAATCGCATCATATGACCCCTTTAAGTTAATATCTCACAATTCTGACTTTTTCTTGAAATTCTGCCTCTAAATCTTGCAGTTCTGACTTTTTTCTCAGAAATGTGAGAAAAAAAAGTGAACTGAGAGAAAGTCACAATTACCTTTTTATTTGTATTTTTTATCTCGTGGCAGAGACAAGCTTCTATAGTTTACAGCCAATTTTACTTCTATAATGTGTGTGTTACTTTTATATCCAGGCTGCATGTGAGTTTGCTAAAACAAAAGCTATTTGGCTGTTGGTTAACATTATCCAACTGGCTGCACAGTAACGTCAGTGGAAAGGGAAAGTTGTTCAAGAGGAAGAGCATGCAATTTAATTTTGATGACATGATTTTTTTCGTTTAGATCAACATGCTCAGATGCATAGCTTACAATTTTTTTGAAACATGCATGTATAATAAGATCTTAATTATGTTGAATTGATAATGGTAAAAAGGATGTTTTGAGCTAAAATGAACTGGTTTAGGTAAAAACAGCTCCGGGGTCAGTGACCTCTGCTTCTCTCTCAGGTTAATGTCTTTTCCTGGCTGTACTCTGAGAATGACTTTGACATTTAGCCGTTCTATAAATAGATTGCATAGGTAATGTTTGCAGAGGGGGTGCTTTCCTCCAGAAACTTTGATTACTATTGTGATGTCAGTGGTCACATGACAATGGAGAGACTGCTGAATAACCTCCAGTATGAGTCATAAGAATGAGAAGGTACATAAGACAACATTATATTATTCATGGTGCAATATGCTGTTAATTCACTGTCTGTAAACTCTCAGTGCCACAGTCATCCAGATAACTGCTAGAAGGGACACATCTGCGGTTACAGGGTATGCGCACATAAATATAACGTAATTCTTGTCACGCTGAACAACAAAAATTACTGTATTTGCATTATTGTAAGGGGTATTGGGGTAGGTGTAGATGTTAATAAAACACAATTTAATAGGTAGAAAATGTAATTAATTGTTATCTTCCGGCCGTAGCTGTATCCCTTCTAGCCACAATCAGACAACTGCTGAAGCTAGCATGCATGGGTGGTGTTGTAAAGTCATCAAGTGGAGTTTTTACTATATTTTTTATCAAATTTGCATCCTTGGTGATTAGCTATGTTTCCATCCACCTATTTTTATGCACATTTTTTTGGGATTATCGCATAAAAAACAGCTGGATGGAAATGCCAAGATGCGCATAAATTTAAAAAATGCGCATAAAAAACTTATGTGCACAACTGAGTACGATAAATTTTTTATCCGATAATAAAAAATGTGCATAAACTACGATGGAAACACATTTACAGCATAAATTCCACCATGCGGCATTCAAAAAGTCATGTGACTTTGCACTATGAGACGGTATAACTTGACAAACCAGCAGACCGATCTCGTTCACAGCATCTATATGTTGTTTTGGTCGTTCTGAAATGCCTGAGGAAAGTCTGTCATCAAAGTATTTCTGTATAATTATTGTCTTACGTGACTGCGTTCCCAAACAGCAGGCATCCACCTCTAAAAGCAATGACCGCATTTATTGTGTTACGTCTGCTCTCTCTGAAGCCTCGTACACACCGGGATGATTATCGCGTGCGCTTATCGCCGATGTTTTTCGACGACGTTTTTCGACGCGTCGTTTGTGTTCATACCCAAGCGATTTTCGCAGGCGATGAGCCGAGTGAAAGTGCAAATTCACTCCCTGACATTAGATGGCGCTTAATGAAAAACAGAAATACCCCGGTACACATCGAATCCTATTTGATCTGCAATTCCTCTCCATAACAACTCCCTCTTATCGATATTTTTGTAGTCGCTGTCGCGTTTGTCATAAAGCCCTTTGTGTTCAGACACCAATGAGACCAGCAGCTCTACATTCATCTTGCCTCCATGCATCTTCTTGGTCTACTTACTTCCTCTTTGTCGTTAGGTATCAATGTGTGCTTGGCAAGATCGTTTTGTGCTTGAGCGCCACCAAGTCGTGTTTTACTGTAACTTCAGCAGCTCCAGGCACGTGAACAAAAGCGCCAATCTCATTGGTCGGCCAGTTTTTAACGCGGCGCGTCAAACCAAAAAAAAAACGAGCCCGAGGCATTTTTTAAAAAATGACGCTTTTACGCCTTGCGTTTTGCCCGTCGGTGTGCACA